CAACACCCTGCCCTTGGTGCCACAGGGCCTGTCCTTGGTGACACCGAGGGGACACCACGTCTTCCATGCTCCATCAGGAAAGGCTGCCCTGGGTTCCAGCCACCCTGCGCTGTGAGGGTGCCTGGGGCTGGTGGGGGAATCAGGCTCAGGGTACTGGAGAAGAGGTGGCTCCCACCGCCCCACGTACTGGAGAAGAGGTGGCTCCACCAGCCCCACAGTGACCCTGGATGTGGCCTTCTCCATCTCAGTGCCAGGCCAGGGCAGGGGGTGAAGCTCAGCCCAGTCTGGTGCACGCCAGCTCCTGCAGACACTGAGCCCAGCTTTGGGCTGATTTGCCCTGCCCAGGCCAGGCTTGCACCCTGCCCCAGGACCAAAATGGGTGGACACTTGGTCCAGGACTCACCTGGTTTGCCTATCCTGCACCTTTGCTGGGTGCTGCCAAGGCAAGCAAGCACCAGAGCCAGGGCTGGGAAGCAGCAGATGTGGCAGGTTGTGGTGGGTTGTGGGATAAAGCACCTCTGCAGACCCATGCATGAGCTTAGAGAGACCCATCAGGAGGGGAGCCCCAGTAACACCCAGCTGGGCCCCTCCCAGGTCCATCACAGGGTCCCTCAGCCCCTCACAGGCCCATCCACAAGCCTAGAGGACACAGGCACTATGGCAGGCAGGAACCCAACCCAAGGACACTCACTTTTTCCAGGGCCCCCTTTTGTGGGCTGTTCCCACAAAGCCTCCAGGCTACACCCATCCCGTGAGTGACCCAGAGCTACTCTCCAGATCGCCATTTGGAACAAGGGGTTGATGCCCAGGGGGTGGGACACATTATTGGAAGCAGAGAAAAGCTGTGTGGGATTGCACAGGACTTGCTGCAGGATGTTTAGTGGAGGACCCTAAGGCAGAAATGTTGGTGATTTTGGGAGAAACAAGCGTGGAAAAATAGTGAGGAATGGGGATGAAAGGCCCAGCTGGGTGTACCAGCTGGTAGGTACACTGGTCCAGTGCCTGAGCAGCACAGTCTGCCCAGTCTTAATAAATTCCTCTTAAACTCTGTCCAGGGTGAGGGCTCCCTTCAGAGTGTGCACCTGTGTATGCAGAGTGTTACCAGGCGGTGAGCAGGTGACTGGCCTAGGAGCCTGGGGCAGGGGAGCAGGTGGCGAAGGGCCAGCCCAGAGCATGACAGCACCCATGTGTCTATGGGGCAAGAGCACGGAGGGTCAGGAATGGGACCTGGAAACACTCACCCAGCTCCAAGATCCTAAGGAGCTGCTGGCAGGAGAGGAGACATCCCTTAAAGCTCCATTTCAGAGAAGCACCAAAGCCAGGGGCAGGGGAAGGAAGATA